GATTAGATATAAGGAATGGCCTCCCATGAGAAAGTGGGCCACATGGGATGGTACCAGGTAAGATAGAACCTTCTAAGGCTCAGGTACAGAGCTAATTCTCAAGATTGGCCCTACACAAAAATATGCAGTCAGGAAATTTTGCCTACCTGCAATCCCCCATGTCCCTTTTTTGGCCTGGCCCCTTCTCCTCATTGTCTCACCTTTTACCCTTGCTTATCCTCTAGTGGAGGAAGGGATGGTCAGGGAAGGCCTCAAGGTCACTGTCTCTTTTCTAAACTCTTGGCTCTGATGTTCTAGTTATTTGGGGTGATCAGATCCATTCAGACACTGTTCAGGCAACCCAGACTCATAGGAAATTAATAGTAGCAGCATTCCAAATTAATAGCTTACAATAGAAATGTAGTTTCCAGGCAGAACAGTGGATAAGAAATTCCTCCCCGCCCCCCTACTTGCAAGATGGCCTGCTTACATAAGGTAGAAGAAAACTGTAATAGTCAGATAGGCTAAGTTAGCCTGTAGTAACAAACAACTCAAACACTTCAGTAGTTTACAGCCAGCAAAGGGTATTTCTTATACAACATGTCTAGCATAGTTCTGCTCATATGTTGAGGCAAAAGGAAAAGAGAGATCATGAATCACAGGGGAAGAGTACTGAAGGGAGATGAAAAAGGGAATATTTGGGGGAATGGTAACACAAGTTCATGGAATTATTTCTCAGAAGAGCCCTAGGCTTAGAGTAAAAAAACAGGGCTTTCCTTCCTGTTCTGATGTTTAACCAACTCTTGACCTTGAACAAATCATTTCACCTCTCTGATCTTTATTTTCACAATCAGGAAAATAACGGGACTGGATTCCATGACTCTCAAGGTACCTTCCACCTTGGAGAACAGAAGTTCCTGATGGCTAGAATAGGGACCCTCATACCCGCCAAGGACTGGAGTACACCACCAAAGTTTCTCTCCAAAAACTCTAAAAATCTTTTGATTTTATCAGAAAATACTTTATTTGGGCCATAAAAAGGCTGAAATCCCAACTGGGGTTCTATGTCTGAACCCAAGAACACAGAAGGTGATTAAAGTGACTTCTCAATCCTCTCAGGGAGAATTGATAACAAGTACTGATCTAGATGCACAGAAAAGAGTTAATTCATTACATACAATGGTTGCCCATAGCACACTAGGGTCTAATTCTCCCTTATAATTGTCACCTATTTCTGTTCTTTGGCTTTGAAGGAGCTAAGTAAGCTCAGGCCTCCCCAAACTTTGTGAGAATATCAGTGCTGTCCCCAAATGCTTGCGAATTCCTAGGAGCTCATAATTTCCTGACCACTTCTTGAGAAGATTTCCAGCTCTTGCTGAGTCACACTCACATATTTCCTATTCTGTTGTCTTATCTCTGTCCAAGTGGGAAATGTGGCCCCTCATCCTTCATCTAGTTGAGGGAAAACAGCTATCCCAAAAGCAAAAGAACTAAGTCATGTGTCCTAAAATTTAAAAACCCAACAAAATAGATCCATAATGGTTTGTTCCCTCAACATTTAATCCTTCTATTCTTCTGAGTGAACACTGTAATTCTTTCTTTTTAAATAGTCACCTGACTTTTTCCAGATGAATACTCATTCTATTTCCTTTGACTCCTTTTGTTTTCAAAATGTATACCTGAATTTCTTTTCAAAGTATACATTTGTTTATGAATAAAAGAGTCTCCCATTCCTTGTGGATTCCAACACAATTTCTGGAAATAGATGGGAGGACAGGGTGAGGCATCTTAGATTTCACTCATGAATAAGAGAAATGGTAAAACCGATGTGTTAAGAACTGAGGCAAATTTATATCTGGCTTGGTCTTGTAGCTGCTCTTCTCCTTTCTTCTCACATGAATATTTTTCAGTAAATGTCAAATGTTTCTATTTCAAAAATTTTTGAATCTGTGGTCTCATTTCCATGTCAATTTCAACAGAATACCTTCCAAAAATGTATAAGTTTATACAAATGCGAAGTACTGGATGACCTTGTTCTACAAGTCCTCCACCCTCCCACCACTGGGAAATTACCCAAGAGTCTGGCCTCCTGCCCTCTTGCCTGTACACCTGCCTACTCTCATTCTCAGCCTCACTCTCACCCTATACCTTGCTTACTTGCTCGCTTGCTATTTTACTCTCTAATTCTCATTCTCCTCTTTCCTGTCTTCACTCATTCCAGCAATTCCTATCCATTTCTAGGTAGGCGATTCTGCCTATATTTTTATTGTCTCCTTCCAATCAATGTCCAAATGCTTCATCTTCCATCTCCCAAGCAGCCTATCAAAGGATTTTAGACCCTCTGGTAGCAGCTGATGTCATCAAATTTTCACCCTGCTGTGCTAGCTTAAAAAGGAATTATCTGGTAAAGGTACAAATACTACTGCTGGGATGGTTTCGACCAACCTTAGTAACCATGTCAACAAGTTTTTTATCAGTGATCTTAGCCTCCCAGTGTCTGAGAACTGGGCTTCCTGTCTGTTTTGGTTCTCTCTTGTTGTATAAAACACACTTCAAAACCTAGGAGCTTAAACCACCATTTCATTGTCTTTCATCAGTGCCTTGGTTGTCTGAGCTCAGCTGGGTGTTTCTCCTGATCCACATGATGTGAGCTGGGACTGCAGTCATCTGGGGGCCCAACTAATCTGAAACATTCAATATGGCTCACTCACGTGGCTGGCAGTGAATGCTAGCTGTCCACTGGGATCTCAGCTGGGGCTGTTGACCTGCATACCTCAGTTCTGCTTTATGTGCCATTTCCATATAGTTAGGGCTTCTCATAGCATGATGACTGGGTTATGAGAGGAAGTGTCTCAAAAATGAGCAATCTGAGAACAAGAATCAGGCTGCTAGTCCTCTTAATGACTGGGCTCAGAATTCTTAGAATGTCAGCCTCAAGCCAGTCATAAGGCCAGCACAGATTCACAGGAAAGGGAAATAAGTTCTACCCTTGATGTAAAGAGTGACGTGTGTAGAAAGAGGGAAGGAATTATCAAGGCCATCTTTGGAGACTAGCTAGCACACTGTGTGTAACTCCTAGGCACTTAGTGCCTACTTCCCCAATACCTGCTGTCAGATCATTCTGCTAACTAGATTTTGGAAAATCTTCTAATAATCTGATACGGACCTGCCATACTGACATTTTAGATCTTGGGCTATCCAAAGATAATCATGTTCTACTAGTCTTTTCCTTGTAAACTAATCTTTTGGTTTGAAATTTTTTTTTGTAAAGCTCTTAGAATAAGTTTTTCTGCTTCTGTACTTAATTTTCGATCCTGACTGTATCATTTAGCATCCATTCTGGAAAATAGAAGCCAAACCAGTTACTTTAACAGAGAAAATTTAATATAGTGATTTAGTAAATCAGGTGTTAGAGGGTCAGAAAAGCAAAAGGGGAACACTGAGGTAACACTAAGATAGTAACTGCAAGAAGCAGCTACCAACCCTAGGGCTGTAGAAACAAAAGAAAGAAGTCAGTTTCCAGAGCCCGGAAGCTCGGAGGATGGAACCCAAGGAGCTGGGACCCAGACCTCTGAGGGAGTTGTTACTTGGCTGGTGCTGGTGCCTCAGAAGCCTAAAAATATGGCTTCATGGAACTGGGACCCACATCTCTGAGAACATGATGAGGCTAGTTCCAAGAGTGCTAAAAACAACTTGAAAAGCAGAATGGATTGGTGCTGGATCCCTCTGCTGCTGATAAAGTGTAGTTGCTGCTTGGTGCTGGACACAGGAAACAATAGTCCCTTCTCTTTCTCTGGCCTAGCCGTCTCTTTCCAGTACCCCTCCAGGCGGAAGCTAACAGGGACAACTGGCAAAGCAGAAATGTTTGCAGACTCCCTGCCCCAGCATCACAGAGTTTGGAATTGAGAAACAGTGGCTTAATAACCTGCACACTGTTTTACTCTGAGTGGCAGGGATTTTACTGAGTTATTTTATTTCCATGAATGATGTTTATAATATCATTTATGGGGATTCCTGGGGGTAGAAGAGCATAGGAATTGATAAATCTGGGAGTAAAAATGTATACCCCAGGGGCAGTTAGTGAACACTGAAGGGCTCGAATCAGTAATCCACATTCCAGGGTAGCTATATAAACATGGCCATTTGAATCTGCCCTGGGGCTTTTATATTAACTTAAGGGGGTGTTAGAAATGATTTCTCATTTGTGAAATGAGTGGTGTTCGAGATATATGATGGGCCAGAAAGACTGCATGAGCCTCACAGCTCTTGCATAAATGAGAAAATAGGAATCCAGCCTACCCAGCAGCCTAACATGTAGGCACAGCATGCCATATGACTTGGTGTCTTGTTTCCTTCATAAAGGACAATGGGGCCTGATCTGACCAAAAAGCATGCTTGCCTGTCTTCAGAATAGTGCTGAGTCCACTTTGGATTAAACCTTTGGGGCCAGGTGCTTGTCGAAAAGCTTAAGGAGTTGCCAGTAAGGTCGCTAAACTCACAGGCACAGGTTGCCTCTTTGGTGACTGTTCACTTTAAGTCATTGTACGTTTGGCAGAATTTGGTCTGTGACTTGTTTTTACAGTGATATCCCACCTGGTTATGGGGGAGGAGATCCATACAAGTCTCATAGGTCTCTGAATGTTAAGTATTTCCATACATTAACCAAAGAACTCGGTGATGACCGAGCAGCCACACTGGCTTAGGTTCATTTACAAGAGCTCTAAGACTGCTGGTGGTGGTTGGTGGCAGCATCACCTGTGAGAGAACCCCAAGGAGAAGGTCATATTTAGGGGGCCGTTAGAAGAATGTGGTCATCAGATCATCCATCCATGAAAATTGTCCTTCCAGAGCTTCTCCCTGGATCTCTGGAGACATGTCCATTAAGAAGCCATTTCCTCACCTTACAGTTTCTGATATTCCAGTACCCCAGCTCCTGGAACAACACCCTCCCTCCATCCCTCAGCCCTGTCTCCCTCACCGCCACCCCTTACCCAGGCCCTGCCCTGCTGGGCTCCTCTGTATGGCTACTGGAATAATTCCTACCTGCACTTTGAGAGGTTCACTGTCCTGTGTGTGAGGAACAGGCAGAAGGGAAGTCCTCAAGTCCACTGTTACATTCAAGCAGCTATGCTGAGAATTTCATGGCAACTTTTGAAATAATTGGGAGATGAAGGGTCATAAGACAAAAGATGAGACATCTTACACACTTAGGAAAGGCTAATCATACACTCTCTAGTTCTCCACATCCTTGCTCAGACGGTAAAGTGTCATTTCCAAAGTCTCTTCATCACTGTCTCCCACCATTCCCCTACACACACACACACGCACGCACACGCACGCACGCACACATTCACGCACGCATGTGCTCGTGCACGGCCTTCAACAACGTCAGGCACAGCATTAGATTCTCCACACTGGAAAGTGTCATTTCCAAAGTCTCTTCATCACTGTCTCCCACCATTCCCCTACACACACACACACGCACGCACGCACGCACGCACGCACACATTCTTCCCAAAGGGATTACTGATCTCATCTGAAAAACAATCCATTCAATGTTGCCGAGCATGCCTTTAGGTTAGCCAGGAAAATCAGGCCACATTTTAAAAGGATCAGGCTTCATGTAAGAAATTCGAAAAATAAAAAAAATCAATAAATGTATGAGACTATACTATGACCAAAATGGTTTGGGTCTTTGGGGGAAAATGGAAGCAATTTGGCACCTTTGGTAGTGGTTTCTGTTCTACTGTTTGGCCAGGATGGGATTCTCCAAGGCATTCACGCAGTTCATTAAATATATTATGTTGGCTTTATTTTTCTCTCAATTTAAGAACTCAGCTCTTAGAAAACATTGCCTGAAATGAGTAGTTTAGGCCTCAGAAGCATATCCATTTTGACTAATAAAACACTAATTCTCTAAATAAGCAAGATGGCTTTTCTTAAATGAGGATCTAATTGTGAAATCCTATATCCTTAAATCTAGCAAATTATTAGCAAAGACATTCTAAGCCTACATGACTTGGATCAGATTTCTCATCATCAGAAAAAGGAATAATTTCTCTATCATCGGAATTCAAAATTAACTACAGGAACACTGGCCTCAGCTGGCAATTATCTTTCAAAGTCAACAAATCCACATTCTAGGACCCTGGAAAATTTGGGTCCCTTTAATGACTTTTCCCATTCTACCCATGTAGGCCCCCATCCTCCCCACCCTCACCCCACATCACCCACCAGCGTATCACTTTCAAATCTTTAACCCGCCTTCTTGTCTGCTCTTATTGGAGATTAGAAATGGCTCCTATCTTTAATGAAATTTTCTTCCTCAAATTCTAGAGACAAAACATTATTGCCCATATTTTCATGTAGAGCATCTGTTCAGGTGTGACTGATGGACACTCCCAGCCCTCAAGCCAGAATTGCGTAAACTGACACACTTAAAAAAGAAAATTAGCATGTAACATCTGGGTCTCTTTACTCAGAAATGTATCGACAAGAATTAGTCTTCTGGCTATAAACGAATAACTTGGAGCAGGATATCTCACAAAAGCAGATCTTACCATTCTCTCCTGGGGGCAGGGGTGGGAGGGATGCCTTTGTCTCTTAGCATCTAGTCAGCCCTGAGAGCTGATCATTATTTAAATCATCCTTTGAATTGTTGTGAACATTATCAGCCCAGTCTGTCTTTTATTATAGCCACAGATTAAAGTCTCTCTTCAAACTACTAGGGTCGCCTGTAGGCTGTCATGTAATGTAGTATGTGCATTACAAAAGTCTAACAAAGGGAGATTTGTGTAATGAAAATCAACTGCAGAGAAGCAAAGAGGACTTTGAGAAATGCAAAGGCGATGCACATACTTCATTGCCATGTGTCTTTTGGACATGTCTATATACCAGACTTTTCAAAATAAGCTACTTTGAGCAGATCCCCAAACCAAATTGTATTCTCAGTTGTTTGTTCTCACTCATGTATATATTCATTAAATAAAAACAAAATGAGTCCTATCTATCTATAAGCAAGGCATTGACTATATTAGGTTCTGGGGATGAGATGCAAAAATAGAGTCACAGTTTCCAACCTCATGAAGGTAGGCAGTCAAATAAGAAAAAACAATACCTTGTGCTAAAGTCTCTTATAATATCAAGTGCTGGAGCTTTGGCAATGCAGAGAAGGAGCAACTGACTCGGTCCTGTAGGAGGTGACATTTACACTGATCACTGGGAGAGGTAAATACCCTGGGCTGGGTGGGGGTGGGAAGACAGAGGAAGGAAAGGGAAAGGAAAGACTATCAGGAGAAGACAACAGCATGGATGAAGACTTAAAAATGAGAGACAGCATGAGCAAAATAGACTAAAGAGAATTCAGTGAGTGAGGCAAAGAAGCTGCGAGATGGTGGGGAAAGTGGGAAAAAAAAGAAACAAATTGCAAAGGGTTTTGGACTTGTCTCTAAGGTCAAGGAAAAGTAGGGTTGACTGGATTGTTCCCAATTCTTTAGTCCCTTTGTGTTACAGAACTGACCATGGCTTCATGGTGGGCAGGGTATATGTCTCTGTCCCTTGACTTTGGGTTTAGCAATGTGACTTGATTTGGCCAATGGAACGTTAGCGGAGAAGGCCAACAGAAGCTATGAATGAGCTCACTTGGTTGGCTCATCCTCTTGTGCCTCAGCAATCAGCTAGGAAAAGGATATGCTTCATGTAGCTGCTGCCCCTTCAGTCTAGGCCCTAGAATGACAGTTCATGGACTAGACCTAAACCCAATCAGAAGCCTGAGTTCCTAACCCAGCCTCAGTGAGCCAAGCAGCCACCAACCCACAGACCTGAGAGCATGAAAATAAGTATTTTGGTGTGCCACTGAGATTTGGGAGCTTTTATACAGCAACAACGGACTAAAATACAAAGTCATGACAGAATTTTCCAGAGGGGAGTGACATGGTCATAACTGTATTTTAAAACACTCCCTGGCTCCATTATGGAGAACAGATTAAAGTAGAGAAGACCATTTGAAACATGTGCAGAGACCAGCTGGGAGATGGTTGTATTAATCCAGAGAGAAATAATGATGGCCTTGCCCAGGATGTCAGTGGTAGGGGACAGAAAGAAGCACCGGTTCCTGTTTAGTATTTCTTTAGTACACTGTTCTTATTTTGTGGGGTTCTTTTTTCATCTTCATTTAAAACCTATTTTCCTCTAAGGCCAAGATAAGCATAATCTCTCTAAGACATCAGGACTCAACAGGCTGTTTAGTAGTCCACTTCATTTGTCCATTCTACTGCCATTTACTGAATGCCTGCCATCCCAAAGCCCATAGTCCAGGAAGGAGAGACAGACATGTAAAGAAATAAGTGAAATAATGTTGGAAGTACTGTAATAAAAGAGAATAAAATCTACAGGAACATAAAAGAAAATATGACCCTTCATTAATGTTCTTGGAGACCTTGATATTAGTTCGTGTGGGCAGGGGTCTTTGTTTTATTCACTGACATATCTCAGGTGCCTAAAAGAAAATGCCTAGCACCCATAATTAGTAGAAGCCTAATAAACATTTGTGTTTTGTGCTTAATTTTTCGAACTTTGGCTCAGACTCACCCTTCTGTCTCTTTCTAGTCTGAACTGCCTCAGATAGGATTCCCATGATCTGAGATGATGGTCAGTAGTTTCAAATCACTAAGAGAGTGCAGGGTGAAGAATGAGAAGACATTGCGTTGGGCCACCAGGACTTTGCTCTTGACTTCTGAGGGCAGAGTTTCAATAGAGTGCTGAGGTAAGAAACCACAGTGCTAACACAGCTTCCTCATCCTGCTTCTTTTGGTTTTAAGTTCTCCATCACTGGGGGTTAGAATATTCACCATAGGCGCTGTAGATATGGGAAGGAAGGTACATAGCCAAGACGGGCTAGCAGGATGGCCACTACCTAAATGGTCTTTACCTTAATGGACTCATCCTGGTCTAAGTCTGCCCCTCAGTTGTTACTGTCTATGAGCTTTATCTCAGAGATCCTCATTCCCACTAACCTACAAAGGAGTAAATATTACACGCCAATATATTTCATGACAAATTTCAACTGAGAAATACAACTATTGTGTGAACTTTTTATTCTTATCTTTCTAACCAGTACATTTTTTTCCCTTTAAACAAGCTATATTGGATATCTAATATTCAAAGGTGACTTGAAGGTGGCTTGAGGTATATGGAATTAGAGCAAAGAAAGAGGGTGTCGATGTTTAAATGGAATCAGGTTTTCTTAGCCTGACATAACCTTAGGATTTGAAGTGTCAGGCATTTTGGATATTTACTGAGACTTGCAGGGCACCCTCTCCCCAGGACAGTGCTTAGAAAGGCACTGCCCATGTTTATCTAGCTCACCTTGCTTTTCTCTAGGGCTCCATTGCTGGCCAATCCTTGTTTCTGACTGACACCTGAGCTTCCTCAAAGCTTCTGAAGGCAATTTCCTGCATCAGGGCCATGGGGTTCTCCTATGTGGAATGTTTCAATACAAAATGTTTTAAAAAATCAGCAAGTGAAGAAGTGCTAAAGAAATTAAAATTTGGCTGGCTCTTCTTATAAAGCTGGTCGTAGTACTACAGTGCTGGTACGCTGATTCTAACTGTGGGTTACACATCTGTAACAAGGGATTAGGGAAAATTTCACAATGGTTTGTTTGAACAATCTTTAGTCTTCCAATGAACCACAAAGTAATAAATCATTCTGTCAGTGGTGTGTTCACCTTTACATCTCTCCCAGCTAACCCCTCATCAACTAAGCAGTTTTTCAGGATGCAATTACATGGCACTGAATAAAAAGCAAGCACAGGCTTGTAAATAATATCACTGCAGATCACCATTCTTGTCACATTTAGCCTGTGGACATTTACCCATGCAAGTACTGCTATATGGGTTATTGAAACAGTTTCAATGGGCAATTACTTTAGAATCACCTGAGAGGATGAGAATGATAGTCTTGTAACTTTCTACTTCCTAACTAGAAGGGGAAGGCCTCACATATTTATTTAAAATCCTTGGTTGGTTTGTTAGTATTTCTACTACAATTGGTACAGTTTCCAGTTTGTCATTTTTCTTTTGAGGTATCTGTCCTCTTCAGATGTCTGGTTCTTTTAGCCTATGAACTCACATTCCCTTGGAGGTACTACTGGCTGCTTGGCCTCATGATATCTACAGGTAATGGCTGAAGGCCAGCCCTTAACCTGGGTCAATTCCAAAGTTCAAAGGAAGCAGTGAAAAGCACTCCCAAGTCCTTATGCAATCCACTAACTGTATCAAGTGCTGAGGACCAGATAATGAAATAGTCACCTGTTTACTCTTGTCCCACTGAGCTAGTTCTCGGGTCAGGTACTTTGAACCCACAGAAAGCAGCAGCTCTTGGGGAAAGCGGTCTCCATAAGCTCAGAGGGTCTGCAGGGAGTGGAGTGATTGCCTGAGGTCAGGCAGTCCACCCCTTCTTCAGCCACTCTGCAGCCCAGGAGCGCTTGGGCTCTACTTAAATTACCCCCACAGCCCTCTGTGACCACAGTTCCGTCTGGCTTGAGAGTATGTCCCTCAAGAGAAGTCCTGCATCTGCTTTTGCCAGGAGCCTGGAAAGTGTCCCAGCCTGGGGCCATTTCTTATACTAATTTCTCAGTTCAGGTCTGCTAGACTACCTAAGTAATGGAAATTCAGACTGAAAACCACCTGAGAAAAGGTGGTGATTATTTTCATGGAGATACAGCTATATATTTTTTGTTTTGTTTCGTTTACCTCCGCTGATTGGATGGCTTTGCTTTCTACTCCATGGTAGCCCAATCAGGGTTCCAAGTTTGTACAAGGTTCTTAGTTCCAATTCCCCATCTTGTCTATGCCTAGAGCATTTTCTCCGGCCCCCAAAGCTGATAAAACCCAAGCACAAAGATAAGAGTACTTGATTACAGAGATTAGAGTACTCTCTTCCTCTTCCAGGGGAAACAAAGTGTCAGCAGCTGCTTATCATGTGGAACTGTAGGTCCTGCCCTGATTTTGGCCTTGAAGTATTTCCTTAATATTCTAACTATGGGTTTAAAAAGCTGCTTGCCTAATTTTATCCAGTACTTCTAGGTGTCCTGTAGTGGAAGGGCTTTCAGGTTATCCAAACTGCCACATGGCCCAAACGGAAGTCCTATCGAAACCTAGGGAGCATATAAGCATGAATATGTCCTAACTTTGCTTCCAGCTAGGGGCCAGAACCAGGGGTATTTTAAAGATGCATGCCCGCCAAGTGATTCTGATGTGCGTATCCACTTAAGAACCACTGGAACAGAAAATAATAAGCCTAGGTCATTATATCATGCAAGGAGACTGTTTATATTTTGCAGGAAAATAATCTCTGCCTATTTTTAAAAGGAAATGAAACCTTTATTGGCATCTATAAGATAAAATGCCTTGCTACAGATGATTGCTTTTTGACGGTTAGTTCTTTTTATAGCTAATTGGATGCAGACCAGTTTGCTGGAAATATGTATTATTATATAGTGGACAATTCCATTTTCTAAAAGGGTAAGGAAAAAATAGATGTTTACATCATGTTTCCTTTATGAAAACTTTCCTTGGCCACAATTTTGCTAGGCTCTGAAAACATTTTAAAACTTTTGCATCATTTGCTTCAGCCTGTCAATATGCTGAAGACCAGTATAGATATATGTACATATTTTTTCCTGAGGTATCTTAGATAGTTCTTTATTATTATTTTTTTTTATGGTGACATTGGTTAATGAAATCCAATAAGCTTCAGCTGTACACTTTAACAGTAAGGCATATATATGTTTACACTGTGTGTTCACCTCCCATAGTTAGCTTTCTTTCTGTCACCACATATTTGACCCCATTTACCCTGTCTACCTTCCCCCTCCCTTCTCCCCCTACCAGTATAGATATTTTGACCTTTGGCAGTTTTTTTGGCTGACAGGATAATAATTCGGAAATTTTTAATTATGTTGCTGATAAGATAACTAAATAAGTAGATGAAATTTTTCAAGTGACAAGTACAGTTGCCATCTAGTTTGCAGTTCTCACCAAAACCCATTAAATCCAAATGGACAAAATGTCCATTGTGAACACTGTATAGCATATTTTGCAGAATTTGTGTAGAAGGTACAAACTAAAATTTTCAAGCCACCTATCAGAATTATTGTTGATTCAATTTATGTTTGGTGTAAAAGTAATAAAACTTGAAATTAAAAAATTAGTTTTCTGCAAATTTTCTTATAAAATTAGAAAATAAATGCAGAATTTTCTTCTCAGTTATTTATACTTTGACAATCTTCATTATCATATCTAAGCAGTGTGTTCTTATCCCAAATCAAACCAATCAGAAATCCACATTCCATGTACCGTAATAAATGTTTTTATGAGGTATTTCATTTATTACTTGCGAGAACTCCCTGCTCATATTATCCGCATTTTACAAATGAGAAATAAATTCACAAGACTTCACAACTGATAAGTAGTAAAGTTGAGAACTAAACCCAGGCCAACTCTAAAGCCTGTATGTTTAACAACAAAACTACATGGCCCTTATATTTAAAAAACTAAAAAGCAAATACACAACAAGCAAGAAACCTACTTAGGAACATTCTAGGATCACAATATTTAACATCAAATTTTATTGGCTAGACCCCTTTAAATATATCCCAAATCTGGCTGCCTTTCCTCTTCTTCACCACTGCCTCTCACTCGTACATTGCAATAAAGGACCTCGGTGGTTCTCGCAGCACAAGGTGGTCTCAGGATCAGGAGTATGGGTGTCACCTGAGAACTTGTTAGAAATACAGATTCTCTGTCCCCCATCTCCCAGAACTGCTGAGTCAGGAAGTCTTGGGGTGAGACTGGTGAGCTGTCTTTTAACAAGCCCTCTAGGAGATTCTGATACACGCTCAAGTTGAACAACTGGCCTAACAGAAAGATGTATTTGTCCAGTCTTTCGAGAGCTTTGCCAACTCTATCTAGTATCTACTGAGCTATCTGTCTTTTAAGAGCCACTCTTGTACCTTTATAGAATCAAGTTTCGCCTTCAAGAACACAGTGATCTGCAATTCTTATCAAATATGTGCTTCCTTCAACTGCTGAACTGGATCTGCACAAATCCAAAACCTCAGATCTCCTGTGACTCTGATAATTTCCAAGGCTTCAGATACCAAGCCTATACATAGAATTCTTTATATTGAAGCAGAGTTTAAAAACGAAAATAATTAAAAAGGTTTTCTAATCTCTGCTTGTGCCTCTCAAATGTTAAAGGTGACTAAAATTAAAGGACCGAAAATAGTAAGTCCTTGTATGTCAATAATATCTCAATAAAACTGGAAAAAGTTCAAAAATTTAAAAACTATCAAGTCCAGGCAAGGATATAGAGCAATAGGAACTCTCTTGCATTGTTGGTGGGACTGTACATTGATACATCTGCTTTGGAAAATTATTTGACAGCAATCACTAAAGATGCAAATACGTGTACTCTGTGACCCACACTTGGACATACGCCCAACAGAAATGAGTGATTATATCCATTAGCACAAATATACAAGTATGTTGACAGCACTGGTATTCATAACAGCCAAATGCTCGAAACACCCAAATGTCTGTCAAATATAGAACAGATAATTATGAAATACTATACAGTGGTTCAAAAAAAAACCACCACTGTTTTTGCTACCTACAATAATATTGATCCATCTTACAGGTATAATGTTGAGTGAAAGAAGGCAGACAGAAAAGAGTACATACCGTGATTTCATTTTTATGAAGTTAAATAAATATATAAAAACTAATCCATGGTGATAGAAACCAAAAGAGTAATTACTTTGGGCGGAGGGGACTAGGAAGGGTATGAGAATGACATGTGAGATGCTGGAACGTTCTGTATCTTGATCTGGGTGGTGGTTACATAGGTATAGACATGTAAAAAAATTCATCAAGCTCCATTCCTAAGATTTGTGCACTTGACTGTATGTGAGTAACATCTGAAAATTTTTATTATTTTATTTTTAATTTTTTTTCTGTTCAGCTAAGACAGCTGTACATGTTACATTCAGCCACAACTGAGAACAGAACTAGTCCAGAATGTCACAGGTCCAGAGCAAATGAACTGTTGTTTTTGTACGAGCAAGGCAGGTCTCTCAAAAGGCAGTCACAACGATCAGATGGCAATGGATGTTCTAGATCTATTAAGATCTACACAGCAGGCATGCAGTCCAGCAATTTGTATCAACGTCCCTGGCCTCTGGCTTTCCTTATTTCTGCTATGGCTTCCACGGGTGCACAAGCTAGCAAGTTTACTTGGACCTCTGCCTCATCTTTCTTCTTTTGGGCGTCAGCCTGCATATTCGCTTCCTCCTCTACTTGGCTCTCATGGTGAGGAGGTTTCTAAGAAAATGGTGCTAAGGCCGAGAGAGCTCAAAATTTTTAAAAAGTGAAATCTATTTAAAGAATATTAGAGGGGATCTAGATCATAATTGACAGCATCAGCCCTGAAGTCAGCTTTCCTCTCCTCCCCAATTCCCATGCATGCTTAGCAGCTGCAGTACCTCTTACCAACCAAACACCCAAACTCTCTGTGACATCCAGCAGATAGCTTTTCCTTTATCTCTCTTTTCTTTCATCCTGAACCCTAGATTTGACTCGGCTTTTTACTAAATCCTTTGCTCTTGCCCACCACCTCTCAGGTCCACCTCTTTCTAAGTCCATCCTATTCTCCCAATTCTGCATCCCGAAACATCTGGAATAGGATAGCAAAGACAAAATTTTCTTTGCTAGTTATAGAGAGAGAAGTAGAGAATACTCAGCCAGTATTTTGTCCTCTCACACACTCTCAGTGATGAAGTTAATTGAACTTTCCTAGAGAAAAGACAGCACTGAGTAGTTATTTCTTTTAAATGATAGTGGGTACCAGTACAAACAACTGACCTCTCACCTACAATGTAATAAGCTTTTGTCTTGCTCTTAGCAATATCTAGTAGCCTATACCAGGAATTCCATGCATGTTTTTTTTTTTCTTTCTGAAGTTTGTAATGGTAAAACTGGGAAGCACCATGGCTTCTAGAGAATGGCAGAAGTGCTAAATTGCACTTTTCTAAAATGTGAATATTGGCAGTACATGTCAGCTTTAAAAGGAACCGGCCATGGGCACAGAGAACAGTGGTAATCAATAGCGCTTCCTGGTATAAATCCCCAATGTTAAATTTAGAGTCTTTGACCATTTTTTCTCAACCTGGGGTCTGAGACTATCTGGGGT